GCTGTCCTGAAGATAAGAAGAAAACAGGATAAGGTGACCCATCTTTCTACGTATTTAAATGGTTGCAGGACTCAATGTAAAGAACATACAGAGAAGTGAATGTTAAAATGATGGAGACATTGTAATGATGTCTAACAGGGATATGTAAACATTTAGATGCTGCAAATACATTTCTAGAAATAAAAATATTAACATTGAGGGGACAAATGAGGAAACTCTCTGAGAAAACACTGTGGAATTATAAAAACTAAACGATGATTGGGAAAATGCTATGAATAAGAAAATTTAAAGTAAAGATTTCAGCATTTGAATGATTGGTATTTAGAGTTAAGAAGCCAAATAAGAAAAATAAATACATTAAAATTTTGGAGCTACACGAGATTCCAAAATATAAAAAGTAAATAGAGTTAAATGTGAGATTTAAAAAAAACCTTTAAGTCCTATTGCTCTCAGGAAACAATTTACCTTGTGAAAATCTATCTCATTCTACTCAATGAGCATAAATGAAATCCTTACCAAGAGGTATACAGGTAAATAACGATCGTTGATAACAACAATTTCAAGAAGAAATCATCAATCTTATAATAACCAGTCAGGAATGGATGTGGGTTTTTTTTAAAAAGGTATCACTACACAATTGACAGAATTATTATTATGAAAATATTGTATGTTCCCATACCACATCATACACATATATGGATATAAATAAGCTTATAACCACACACATGTACATATTTTTGTGTATACACACATACACATGTAATTATAGTACATGTAAATAATTTTTAGCAGATGAAATTTGACAAGGCTTTTAAGCCACAAAATCTTATAGAATTACAAAGGTATGGTAGATTTGAGTAAGGAAATCTTAAATTTTTATAATGCCATATATACAGTAAATGTACACGGTCATCTATAGGAAGTGTAAGTGCTATACAGACTGTGAACTTCAAAGATGGACAAGAATATCTGTAACAGGACATTAAGGAGGATAATGTGTTTATTGTTAGTGAGACTGAACAGGTAGGAAAATGACAACTAAATGTCAGTACCAGTTCAGGACAGAAAATTTAAAACTTCCCTTTCTGTTGCTGGTGTCATATGCATAAATTTTTCTACAAGCAAGATTTTCTGAGTAGTAGAGGGAAATACTTAAACAGTAGATGAAAGCCTATAAATGTGGAGCAAACTAGAACAATGCATGCTGTGATTCAAATAGCATGTTCTTTGTGTCTATACAAAAACAGAACAGCAATGAACAATGAAACATAATGAAGTTTAGCTTATATTCTGGCTGTGGATAAAAGAACTGGAAACAAATGAATATCAAGAGGAATTGACAAAATAATTTTTCATAGAGCATGTGTCTGTAATAAAGAAGATAATATATCAACTTGCTGTTGTTAATACTGTTGTTGTAGTATGCAAAACATCCAAGATAAAAATGATACAAAATTCAAAGCTGCTTATACACTGTGCGCTAAGCTTGTGAAAACATTTGATATAAAGATTGTGTGAAAACAAAAGAATAAAAAAGTAAAAAGTGTTAACTTCAGATAGTGCAATTATAGCTTATTGTAGGCACATTCCTCATGTCTATTTGCCCTGTTACCCTCATTTTCATGTGGTAAATGTAATTTCCTTTTATTATCCTTTTTTAAAAATTTGTCTTTAGAAATAGATGATAAGACACTGGGATTTTGTAGATTTTAGGGAAAATATCGAAGGGCAGAAAACACATATATTTTTTATTCATAAACCAATGTCAGGGTGTCCCATACAGGGAACAGAACATGTCTAAAATTACTATAAGTTAGAAAATTACTAATGAGGTGATAACGAGGAAAGCAAATGACTGCAACCATACTAACAGGTGAAAGTTGCAAGCAGCATCTGATGTCTATTAGCTGTCAACTGGACAGAACCCAGAGTCATTGCTGAAGAATTCCTCCCATCAGATTGGTCTAAGGGTTTCTATGTGGTGAATCTGCCTTATTGATAAATACTTTGGGAGGACTCTGACGACTGTGGGCAGTATCATCCTTAGGCAGTTGGACTGGGACGTTTAAGAAAGGTAGCCAAAAGTGAGCCAGGACCAATCCAACAAGCAGCATTCCTCCTTAGTCTCTACTTCAGTTCCTGCCTCCAGACCCCTGCTCTGAGTTCCTGCCCTGGCTTCCCTTGGTGATGCACTGTGATCTGGTGCTCAAATGAATACTTTCCCAATAAGGTTATGGCAGACTCCAACTCTTTTCTCAACCTTATTTGATCTGCTAATGAATGTCTTTCATACTACTCATTCTATTTATTTATAGTATGTGTTGGATAGATATGCACTCATTTTATTTTCATAATACCATGTACAGTGGTTGACTTAACTTTCCTGGTGAGAGACTGAGAAAGATCACATAGGCAGTTAAGAAGCATCCACCTCTAGCTGTGTGAAGTTACTGATTGTAAACACTGAAGTTTTAAACTCTGACCACTTATAAGCTAGTTGCTTTTGCTGATACTCTCTATGCTATAACTACAGTGTTTCAGTACCTTGACCACAAATACTATGTAAGAAAAGAAAACTGGATTAAGGCAGACAGTGTTTTCTGGCAGGACACACGATGACTTTCTTTCTTTTTAGCCATAGATATGTCCCTATTCACAGAGACTACTAAGGATTCAGCTGCAGTTCAAACCTATGAGACTTTTATTGAGACCTTTGTACATGTAAGGTTCATGTCATATAGATTCAGACATGAGGTGCAGTGCACTATGCCAAATGCTGAACCATGAACAAGCCCAGTGCCCTAAACAGTCTATCCTGTTTGAGAAAAACTTTGGGATATGGGAATTTACTGGAGTAGTAAGAATTTTATCCATAAAGTTTGCATTGTCACATAACTCATATTCACATAAGAAACTAGTCATTAGCCAGAAACTCCCAGAGAGTCTTGCTTAGTATAGTTTTGTGTGTGCTCTGTTTCAGAAAGCTCGTTTTACATATGAGTCAAAATTATTTTTACACTGAAAGAAGCCTTCTTAGAGATGGTGTTCTAAATTTAATACAGGGAATTTTAGGATAAATTCCAGGTTGAAACAGATTGCTGCCTATGCTGCCTGTTTAAGTACAGGCGCTAGCTGATCTGAAACAGAACAGAAAAACATTTCTAGATTTCAAAAAAAAAAAAAAGAGCTAGAGGAGGGGAGCAAGTTAGAGTGGGTGGAAAACATATCTAGTGGAAAGAGTCAAGGCATACAATGTAGGAGAAAACATCTCCACCCTGGAGGAACCCCCGATGACTGTAGGAATAACCACCCAAGTAGATTTTCAAACACTTCTCACATTTGAACTGAGGATTCACAGACCTTTTGGGCTAAGAGTCAATTCTGAGTGGCTCATGTCCCTGAGTCATTGAATTCCTGTGTGTTTGCAGCCTATGATGCTACAGTAGTTCAGTTTGGTCGGGTAGCATATTTATTTTTAAGTTTTGAATGTCAACAGCATGAAGAACATTATGATGGACAGCAGGCTTTGACCAAGGGTCTCTGAGCAATTAGATTTGGATATATAACAGTAAAAGCTACCTGAGTTTTTAAGCTGAATCAGACAAACAACAGAGGAATTCATGTTAAAATACAGAATTCTCCTAAAGTAAATGCAGTATAGTTTTTGTTAACTTTTACATGCTGTCAATTTAATGAGTAGTTATTCCTTAGAAATCTTTCACTATCCCCCCCATTGACTCATTGAAAGTATGATTCGTTGATGGAAGAATTCATGTATGTGGTAGACCCCTAATTATTTGGGGTTACTGTTCAATCTCATAGGAGACAAGACCTGAAATAGGAACAAAAGAACACCATGTTTGAAAGTACCAGGGTCACTCATGAGATCATGGTGGTTGAAGATGATAAGTTCAAGGATGTAATGTGGAGCTTTGTCATAGGAAATGTCTGGAAGAGGATGCATTGTCCAGGCAAGAAGGAAGGTGTAGATCAAGGGACACAAATAAAAGCAAAGATGACTTCAAAAGTTGCCTGCCAAGAAAATAAAGTTTCTAAATTTAGTTTCTGCTAGTGTTGCAAGGTGTAAAAAAGGTTCAATAATGAGTTTAAAAATAAGTAGGAAAATTCTGAAATGGTTTTATATGGCTATTTGGTAAAAAAAATCCCTAACTCCTGGGTTTCACTTATATTTTGATAATTTTAATACAAAACAACTTAGTTTTATTCATTTCATTCATAGTTTTCACTCATAGGATTCATTTACAGGTTTCATTCACTATTTTTCAGGAAAAATAAAATACAATAGCCTAGGCCATACGGTTAGACTTTTATATTGTTAATTCTTCAACTTTTTTCCCTTTTCTCCAGTTACCCTTACATATGTCTTTCAGTTTTAAACACTTGATTTTATCCTCAAATTATTTAGGATTATAATTTTATGAAAGGGATTTTCAGTGCACAATAATTAATATCGATCAATTATACATTTGTGAATTGAACAAAATTCACAGAAAATTGGTGGATATCTTATTTAGTATTTCATTGTCGCATGTCATATACTGTTTATATTGCTCTTTGTGGAGCAATAATTGGTCTTTAATTGAAAACCTACTATATTACTTTGTTTTTCTCTGATTAGATTGACCAGTAAATCTGTACATTAAATTATGAGCACAAATGTTCAATCTCAGTGTCAGAAGGTTGCAAAACAGGTGAATGAGTTTAATATAAGAAGAATTGCTGAGCTAAATTGACCACCACTTTATTTTAAAATGATCACCATGGTTGTGCAAGACATCTTAGAAATCTTAGACAATGTAACTCAAGGGAAAATAAAAATATGAGCCAATGATAAATGCATTCATCTCTTTCAAAGTAAAAATAACCAGGAGGATTTTTCATTAAGCATATATGGCTTTTCATCTTTTAAGTTCTAGAGGTTTGCAAACATACAATGGATTAATTCCTTCCATTTAATAATTGTACTCTTCTCTTTTTAGGTGGATCTTCTTGTCCCTACCAAAGTGACAGGCATCATCACACAAGGGGCTAAGGATTTTGGTCATGTGCAGTTTGTTGGTTCATACAAGCTAGCCTACAGTAATGATGGGGAACACTGGACTGTGTACCAGGATGAAAAACAGAGAAAAGATAAGGTAAGTTGTCTGCATGCTTTGTAGAGTGAGGATTCAGTGTCTGGTAATGTTTTAATGGAAAAATTTAATCCAATATATTCTGATCATGGTGTCCATTTTTTTCCAACTCCTCCAAGATGTTGCCCATGTTTTCATTTCCCCCAATTCCATGTTGCTTTCTCTCTCTTTAGGAAACAAAATAGACAAATAGGCAAAAGACACATAATAAAAAGAAAGAGGAAAGAAAGAAAAGGAAAGACCACACACACACACACACACACACACACACACACACACATCCATTAAAACACAAAGCTGGAAATTATAATACATGAGCAAAGGGTCTATATGAAAAAGAATGCCCAGTCAATTATAAAATAATGGCAATGTATACAATAAACCATGCTAAATAAGAATTTCAAAGAAAGGATGTTGCAGTAGAGTAAGTGATAGTGAAACCTGTTAACTAATGAATATCTTTATTAATAAACTACCATACTATACAATAAGACAGGTATCTAAAATTCACTTTATATGTTACAGACTCAGAAAAGGCTTGATATTTTTCATAATTAACATGTATACTGCTAAGACTAATATTACTATAATTTATAAATAAATTAATGATATTATGTAGACCCAGTTTCTGTTCTACCTGATCCCCCAGCTGTTTAACCCCAAATAAATACACAGAGACTTATATTTATTATTGAACTCTTTGACCGATTGCTTAGGTTTCTCATTGGCTAGCTGTCTCTTAATTATTAACTAATTTCTATTAATTTAAGTCCTTCCACATGGCCTTTTCTTACTGGAGGATATTGCTCCCTCAGCAGCTACATGGCATTTGCTCTGATGGCTTCTTTCCTCCTCTCCCCAGAATCCTCCTAGTCTGATAGCCCTGCCTATATTTCTTGCCTGGCTACTGGTCAACCAATGTTTTATTCATAAACCAGTAAGAGAAACATATACACTAAAGGACGTTCACCCATCACTATTAGAAGAAACATTCACTTGAGAAAAATATTTCAGTGGTAATCATACAATATTCATATTTCCTTAGTTATGTGACAAGTAGGAATTGTAGAGATAGATAAATTTTGAGGATTGTGCCAGTTCATCCAAATAAAACAAATTATTCTTGCTAAGTTTGCTGCAATATGTTTTAATTTAGAAATCTAAATTTTCTTTGAAATAAATGATTGATTTTTATGGCTGTACACACCATATAGCTTTTAAGTGTGAAATTCCTATTTAACTTCTGGCCCCCCTTGAATTCTGCATTTATCAACTGGCATCAATTTCCATGGAACACTGGAAAATAAAAGACTTAGTGGTCAGTATGTGATTATGGCTGTACACTATAATGCAACCTCAAGTAGCCCAAAGGCATTGAATTGAGTGATTACTTAGTGGCCTTTATACAGAGGTTAAGACTTTAGAATATATTAATAGAAATACTTAGCTCCAGGCTTGGGGTAAAGTTTAAGAAACTCACGAATTTCAAATGTTTCTGAGTTTATAACTCGTTATGTTAGGCAATGCCTGTGAATCTTTGCAATTGGTATCTTATACCAATATACGTCAACAAACAGCTTGCACATATCTTTCTTACTCAAGTGGTCAATGCACAGAATTTATAAATCTGCCCAGAAACCCATAGGCTTGTAAAGCTATTTCAGTGAGACACTAATTGGAGTTCAGTTCAACCAAGCTCATTCAGTGAAAAAAGTTTTAGGTTCTGATTTAAACATCCTACATCTGTCTGTGTTTTCGTATCTTTGTACATTCCATTTAATGTTTCAAAATATATACATGTTTTACATTTTAAAATTTAAGAAGCTGGTATGCTCTTATGACATCACATTAACTCTTTCCCATGTTCTACAAAGCAAAGAATCAGGTTCTATTTCTTTAATGAAAAAAAGAATCCATGCAATGCATTCTGATCATAATTGCCTTTTCCCCCCAAATGATTCCCAGATCCTCCCCATCTCCCTACCCACCCAACTCTTATTACAGTTGAGAAAAAATAGTTTTATTCAACAATGTAAACTAATAGTATATTTTATAATCCGTGGCATCTCAGATCAAATATATATTGAATATTTTGTTTAAAATGTCTTCAGATTTATTTTGTGGCCTACAAACAAAATTTTGCAACAAGTGGTCCTAAACAATGATTTCACCTCCTCTTAGGGTTGACAGACACTGGTGCATAGAGTTGTATACTGTTTGAAACGAAAGTTTTAAACTTCGTACTTTAAACTTTCACATAGTCTTAGAATTAGTTTCAAGACAGAGAAGTCTTTTAAGCTCCAATACACACTCAAAATCAATAATAGTTAAGTCTTTATAGTCTGTGGGGCAGTGATGATACATACATGTAACCCATCACTCAGGAAGCTGAAGCAGGAGAGTTGGCCATGTTCAAAGCTAGCCTGGGTTACTGTTTCTAAAATACAAAATCTAACACAAAAGAACAAGCAAGCACTCACTTGTTGAAATACTTAACTCTATTTATATTTAAAATGTAAATTAGTGCTTACATTTGAATATTGTAAATTATTTTACTGATAGACTAAGAACTTGCTAATGAACACACTTGATCTTATTATCTCAGTCTGAAACATATGCAAATACATTCTGGGAAGTTGCTGGCTAATATTATTCAAGATTTCTGTATCCTCCTGGTGTTTCATCTGCTGTACTATCTGTTACTGCGAGTAATATGACTATCTCTCATTATTATTAGGAATTTGCCTGCATCTTTTTGCCATGACATCTTAGTTGTCTTCATATATTTTCACAAACAAAATCTTATTGTTATTTAGAAATAAAGAGATTGTTATACCTTACAATATTTTCCCTATAAAATCTCCTTTATCAGGAATTGATAGAGATATTGCAGCATTTGAAATATTGCCTCCATGTAATATATGCATATTTTACTTATACAGAATGCATTTGAGATGAAATTCTATTGTGTATAGTTAGATTTTTTTTAGTACAAACTAACTGTACTTTGAAAGCAAACAAAAACAAGTTTTAAAACTACTTACATTTGATATGAGTATTGATTTAAATGGCTTTAAATTAATCATTAAAGTTTTATTTCCTATTTATTGTGTCTTTTCATTTTTTTCTTCATTTGGATAAGGTCAAAATTTTAGTGATTTTATTTTATGAAATTTGTAATCTACAATACTTTGATATTTTAGATGACATATAAGGATTTATGGTTTACATTTAACTATTAAAACCCAATTTCATATAAATGTAAAGCCCCAGACTCTAAACACTATAAGCTAAAAAAAACAGATTTTAGATGTAAAATCATACACTACAAGACCATTATTGCTATTGTTATTACTGTAGTATTAATATTAGTTTCTTTTTTTTAATTATTTATTACATATACACCAGATTGAATTGTAGATGGTTGTCAGCCACCATGTGGTTGCTGGGAATTGAACTCAAGACTTCTGGAAGAGCAGTCAGTGCTCTTAACCTCTGAGCCATCTCTCCAGCCCAATATTAGTTTCTTAGTTAGGGTATTATTGCTGTGAAGAGACACCATTACCTTAAAGAAAAACATTTAATTAGCTCATCATCATAATGACAGGAAGCATGGCAGCAAACAGGCAGACATGATGCTGGAAACGTAGCTTAGAGTTCTACATTCAGATTCTCAGGCAGCAGGAAGAGAGAGTGACTCTGGGTCTGGCTTCAGCCTCTGAAATTTCAAAGCCCATCCCAATGAGAAACATTCTCCAACAAGGCCACACCTCCTAATAGTGCCACTCCCTACAAGTTTATGAGGGACATTTTCATATAAACTACCACAATTAGTATTAATATAAGTATGTTTTAGTAGTATTTTGGACAGAGGCTCACTGTAGAGCCATAACTTGACTTAAGCTCAGTACCCCTACCACAATTGCTCTGAAGGACAAGGATTACAGGACTACACCTCCATTGTCAGTAAATAATGTTTATTTTATTACAAACAGGATTTATAGCAGAGTATTGAGAACTCACTAGGCAACTTAGAAAATTATGAGAGTGAATTGACATAGTATTTTCACTTAAACAATGTATGTGGAGAAACATACCTCTCAGTAATCTATACAATGTAAAAAAATTTTGAAACATTTAACCATATTAAGTTTGTTCTCTCTCTCTCTCTCTCTCTCTCTCTCTCTCTCTCTCTCTCTCTCTCTCTCTCTCTCTCTCTCTCCAGCTGTAATCTTACTCCATGTTCTTAGCTCCCTATTGAAAGAACATAGATTTGCAATAATTCACCATAGCTTTAAGAGCCTCAGATATTGCTGCTGAATGCAAGAGGAGGTGTTGTTGCTTACTAAGTGGGGAGTGGTTTGAGTGATTCTCTATTTGGATTGATAGATTAGGTCACATAATCATTTTTCTACTACTCATGCCTCCTCACATAATGCATCTGATCTTAATCATATGCCTGTTTAATTTTATACATAGATACAGTGGTAAATTACGAAGTCTCCCTAAAAGTTACTAGAGAACATGTTTTGCCTTACTGAGTGTGCACCCTAAAGAGCTCCAGCCCAGACTGCCCTTTCTGTTATTCATATCCCTTTGAACTACACTTGATAGAAACTGTCAGTTTGGTTGATAAGAGGTGCAAGGGACCTTTTACCATTTTTTTCCAGATGGGAGTATGCTGGTGAAGGTTGCTCCGTTCTGAGTTCACTGGGTACATTACTGGGGGAGTGGTGTGCACACAAAACAGAGAATTAGTCCATAGCACATGCAAGTGAAGTAACCAGGTTTATGAGGGTCTCAAGCTAAACCAGCTCCCAAGCTTGCCTGCCTCAATAACACTCTGTCAGAAAGACAACCATTAAATAAATTGTAGAAATTCTGTTTTACCACAAGTGGTGTAAGTGAAATTCTAAAAATGTAGAAGTGCTTTTTCTGTTTTTCTATGGTGCTAAGTAACGCATGCTTATGAAAAGGTATGTGTGTACACACAGGAATGTCTG